GAAACACCTCCGCCACGAGAAGGCTTCCTCAGCAGATACTATTTCAGACGCTTGGTCGTATGGAAGCATTTCGCAAGGTGCAAGGGAAGGGTGACCAGCTGCAACCCTAGAGACCCACCCCCGACCATACTGGGGCTTTCGGAGGCGAGCATTTGGATTGAAGAAATGCGATTTTATCACCTTGAAACTAACTAAGAGAAAACAGAACAGAATTTTGATGGGATTTCAGGGAATCTTTTCGGGCCATCATGCTTAGAGAGCATAGTTGTTCAACTCTCGTCTATGCACGTTCGGAACCGAGAAAAGTACATTTCTTTCTAGAGAATGATGATTTTATCAGGTGATTACTTCGCAAATATCAAAATATCGTTTGTTTTATCGTTCCGTTAATCGCAGAAGATCGACCGCCATCAGAGGTATAATGATAGGTACCGAAGGTGAATGAACGTCAACTGAGGATCGCTCCCAAAAATCAGGTTGTTTGATTGCATAATTTTCGGTGGTTGAATAGATCCATGCGTGAATTATTGTGATTGACTCGGGCTTCTCATTTTCTCGACCAACCGTAAATGTTCTCCTACAGTGCGTGATTCGATTGACACGCATGTACACTATCTGACTGTGTGGAGTATCTCGTTTTCATCAGGAATAGTTATACTTTTCGGGCATTTTTCTTAAATTTCCTTCTCACACTTGCTCAACTTCTGGTTCACTTTTTCCATGTTTCGTCCGAATCATATGGTTTATGTTTCTGTTCTTCGATGAGGACATAATCGAGGACTGCCTGTCGGATCTGAATGAGGGGGCCAGGGGGAGGGGAGGAGATAGGATCATCTATACTAACTGTTGCAAAATTTTTCCGATAACGGTGACTAGTTCTAACATAATTGAATGTCATTACAAAGTTTATCAGTTATTCATATGTTCGTATGTTCTTTTGTTCATATGTTGTGGTACGTTTACCAGTTCTCTGTAATTGGTTACCTGTTGAATATATATACATCAGTTGACAAAGGTGGTAGTTCATCTATTTGTGTTCACGTGTTTTACTGATGACCGAAGAGAAACAATAATCTGTCAAACTGATACACAACCTAATTCCTGTGCTCCAGTTTCTGTCACATGCTCCGTGTTGCGATTTTTTATTGGTGACTTGATTCTTTGGGTTCTTTCCGATTAGTTGATGAAAAAATAGCAATCCAATATAAACTCTGAAGGCATTTCAAAAACTCGGTTCTGGAGGGGAGTGTTTTAAGTCCATAAGTTGTTTGGTTCTGTATGTATTTTCTATTTTCTCCGTGAAAGTTGGTATTCTTTGACCTGATTGATATTTCTGGTTTTTTGTCAAACAGAAAAAGTTGCGCCAAGCCACGAAGGCCAAACGGAAACTGGAAAAACAGATCGAAGTGAGCTACACTATTTTGTGCATTGTATCTGCCATTTAAGGTGTGTCTCAAACGTGTTCACATAATGAGTGTATCCAAAAGTTGTAGCACTCTCATAGGACGGTAAGATTTCAGAAATAAGAGACAATTGTCTGGTTTTGCTTTACGTCAACTCTCCCCTTGTGTTGTAGATGAAGGCATATTTTACAGCTCATTATTAGGCGGTTTATTTGCAATTGTTCACTCAGAAAATTGTACCATACACGTGATTGTGCCTTGCCATATACAATTTTTCAAAGAAAACAAACAAAATTTTTATGCTCGGTAGTTTAATTGATTTGACGAGTCCTCTTTTCCCAATGCGTCCATCCCCCTATCTCCTCAAAAGGACTTCCTGTTTAGGTTCCGTAGAATGACATTCACTAATCTTGTGTATGTGTGTCACTCAACTCAGTGCGGACTTCTCGTGTTCTATTTCAGGAACAGAATACCAGTATGGAGCAAATCACTCGGGAATTGACTGCCAAGCAAGAAGAATTGGTCCAAACACAGGACAAACTGAAGCGGCTATCAGACGAATCCCAGTAAGAGTTGGCCGCACTTTGTTTGCTGTCCCCTGGCGCTCCTTTGATGTGTACTAGTTAAAATGGGCTGACTTTAGCTACGCTAATTCGATAGGAATTAGAACTATCACTCAGAATATTGAGTGATAATTTTGACCACATCTGTCTCGGCTAGTCATCCGTCAAATGCATTATCGGACAATGGAGTCACTATCATGGAGCAAAGATTTTTATAACAAGGAGATCAGTTCATGATTTGCTCGTGGGCAGAATATTGCCAGGCGTATTAAACCAGATGGATCATATTTGCTACATCTTTTGTTTGCAATCATCTAAATGCCAAGTCATCAGGGGCTGAACTACGGTAGTTTAATCCCTATTCGAATATGATTCACATAAGATGCACACGCAAAAACGCATTCTGGGGACAATGTTGAAACAAAACTGACAAACACATTCAGGTCTGTTGTTGTCTCCCCATCGGAGAAAAGAAGTCAGAATGATTTTCAAACTAAATTTGGATGCGTTTGTGGGATAGAAAGGCGAAAGAATTGTAAAGATGTTTTCCTGTACAAATAGTATTACATAGTAATTGGGAATAGTGAAATAACCTGTATAGTTCATCTGATCCACACAATTAGTTCTGTTCAGGAGACCATTTACTTGTTCTTTGAATAACAGGTACCGATTGGTGAAAAGTGTATACCACGGATAATCCCGTTGTTTTTCACGTTATGGTTTTGATGGTGCATCCAGTTGATAACGAGGAGCGGCTATGGTTAGGAGACAGATGATGTTATACAGTGCGCCTACTTGCAGCCATATTCTTCGCTTGCATTTTGATTGACATCTGTTACGCTCAGTGTTCTCTACAAATATCCTTCACATGAATGAGGGCTACTGCAAGGTAAAATCAATGCACATCTCATGACACGGCATCATCATCATCTACTTAATTTCCAAAGGCTGGGCGCATTACTGTTCGCACCGGGGATACCCGACAAAAAACTTCACTGTTCAGTTCTGCCACTTCCTTTACCATTTCCGTATCGATAATTAACATTGTGTCCTTCTTGATGCCTTTCCTTTCATGTCTATCTATGTAGTTTTAGGTTTCGCGATTAATGACACTACGGCATAGTTTGCCCAATATGCACATGGTTCTGAATTCATCCTTTTCTCCTTTCTATGATCATAGATCTGCCCAAAAATCTGACCAAACGCGTTTAGGTACGCTGGCCAATGACATGATATCTATTGAGCAGGCGGTACGCGAGCGCCGTTCTGAGCTGACCGGCCTAGAGGCAAGACTGCACGAGACAAACAACACCTTGGCCGGTGTCCAAGCCCAAGTAAGTGTTAACTGCATTTTTACTGTTCCGTATCATTTCAACCTATCTTTTAGCTAGTACGGTAGCATAAGATTGTTGAAGTACGCGGTCAGTCAAATTTTGCATATGGCTATCCAAAGCTCTCTGTATAAATGATTATTTTTAGTTATTAACTGACATGGGTGCGAACAGTAATTTACACGTGCCAAGCGCAATCACACTTGGAACAATCTGATTTTTTCTATATTATTGATGGAAGGCGGACCGTTTGTGTGCGAATCAATTCTCGTTCTGGATTGGGCTTCGTTAGTTTGATAACACTTTACCCAAATAGTAACCTTGCACTTTACTGCACCGGTTTCCGTTCCGGTCTGTGTATTACCCGTCCGGTTGATCCTTGAGGTGAAGGAGTAAATAGGATAAGTGAAAAGCTACTAGGAATACCAGAATAAAAATCCGAGGAAGCTAGATTGGAACAAATACACGAGTATTGGTTTGCACAGTGCAGATCCATTCACGGAAATTCAAACACTTGCTTTTGTGATCGTGTATTGAAACTAATACGGGCTAGTTGTTTCTTGCAAGACAAGTGGGTTTCTGAACTGCCCTACTATCACTAGACTTAATTTTTTTCCACACAGTTTGAGCTACAATCAGATAACAGTCGCGACAGTCGCAATTTGTGTACCATAAACAGAATAAGTTATTTTGACAAATATTACCGTTGTTTAAACATTTTTCTCAACGATCCAACTCCCTATGAGCTCGTGTCAATGTAATTCGTTATTTCTGGGATTGCATTCTCTCTGACACGTTCCTCTGATTGACACTAGGTTCATGAAGCCAACACCAAACTGAACGAGACTCGAAATCAACAGACTTCATTGGAAGCGGAATTGGACAGGGTTCGTTCCGATCTGAAATCGTCCAAACTGGAATTGGTTGAATTGCAAATCAACGTAGATCAAGCACGTGCTCAGGTAAGTCGGCTTCCCCTCGTACAGTCTCGTGGTAGGTTAAATCGAGAAGTGTGTGAATGTTTGTGTGTGTTCGTGTTCGACCCTTGCTTATTATTGTGCTTATTGATGCTACCGATCCCGACTTCTTTTAAAAGTCATCTGTATCTCGAATGCATTGCAACAAAAACACTCGAACAATAAGTTCTTAACAATAATCTGCTGCATTGGATTGCGAAACAGAAACATTGATATCGACACATTCAATATCAACCCACTCCTCTCGTATCTTGTAGTATCGAAATTACAAATTTTTCCACAAACCCAACTGGGATACATGATCATGTAATCGCTGCTATGTCATCAGTTGTAATTTGGATATACGATTTCACAATGCGTGTACAGACCTTAGGGTACTCAATAAGCATCAGCTTTGCAATTCACCCATAATAAATATTTGAATTTGAGGCACCGAAAGAATTTGTGAATGTTGGGTGAAATTTATGTTATAATACAATCCCATGTGTTGCCGCCATATTCAGCTAACTGTGCCCCCAAGTACTCGTATTGGTTCTTACAATTTCAACTTCGAATCCCTCACCACGTTGACTGCGGATCTTTCTTTTGTTGTACGTCTCAAAATCACATCTATTCTATTTAGACATTGAGTAGGTTGACAAATCAAACGTAATCTTTCAGTGANGTGTCAATCTTTTGGGATTCGCTTATTTAAAACAAGCTTGCTAAAGCACTTCAATGGTTACTTGGAGTTTGCTCATACGCAGTTCTTTTTGACTACAGTCACTGATGGTCATACACAGCGTACTTCTGTTTACAAAAAAATTATAGTATTTCTCATTGAGGGGCCGTCAAACTAGCCTGTTGTTCTGGCGGAAGAGATCGACTCAGTCCGATTTCCACATCTGATGTTATTTTTGGACGTACGGTGTACCGGTGCTAAATTTAGTTTATCCTACTGATTGGCAGTATACACGGTACTCTCAAAGTTTATCTGTTGATACCAGTAAGCGATCATAATCAGTTGGTGAGCTACTGATACACTGGGAAAAGCTTAGCGTTTTTTTGCAAAACGCACTCACATCTTCCAGGTTTAAATTAGTTAGTTATCAGACTGTACGAACTGTCACCGTCACAAACTGATACTTTCATTTTGATTATCATGGAAACCCTGTCACATCGACACAGAAAATTGTTAATCGGGAACTGAATTGCTTGACATGAGCGATTTTCAATTGGTTCGTTTCAATAATTGACTAATGAATGTCCCGTGGATGCTATGTTTGTTTGCTTGTTTTAGGCTCAGAGTTTCGAGTCCACGAAACGCGAATTGGAGACCAGTATGAAGCAGTTAGAATCCACAATTCAATCGAAACAGAGCGAGTTCAAACAGCTTTCTATCAGTGTAGAAGAGGTGGATACGAAGTAAGTTCATTTTACCAAATGTAATGGTACCACGAAATCTGATGTTATCCGGATTTGTTTTTGCTTTTGGATCGTCTTCTGTGCTGATTGGTGTGCCTGTTGTGGTCTGTTACAGGCTCGTTCGTATGCGTGCGGAACTAGACGCGGGTGAGACTCGTATGCGCACACAACAGAAGCTGATGGCCGAAGACGAGGCCGCTTTGAACGAACGCCGAGCGGAACTCCGGCGTCTCTCATCCAAGGTGAGCATATAGCCGAATCTGTTGTTCCATTTTGAACGGTGAAATGAGAGGACTTTCTAACCAGTGACCGTTTTCAGTAGAGGTCATCTTTCAGTAGTGATACGCTTGCATCGCTCACATTACGTTAGTCATTGTTAGTCGCATTATGGCAGATGTTAACAAATGATCCACTGAGATTTGTTTCGGTTGAATAATCGGAAGCCATGATTGGTTGATGAGCGGTGATTGGCTCCGTTTTCTAAAATTGTCATTCGGTAGCACGGTTCATTCAGTGTTTTTTTAATTTGGTCTAAATCCCTGAGGATTTCTGATTAATATGAGATGCTTTTCCGTGAGGTGATGCTGATCGAGTGATCCTCAATCGGTGGCATTAGCGTTCGCTCCCCTGATGAGTGCTCAGTCCCGTTCTTATCAACTTTGACGCTAGACAACTTTGTTGTTGGTTTGTTCTATATCACGCTTGTTCTTTTCTTTTTGCTCCATTTTACTGAATCTATGGCGCAATACGAACAACTTTCGTGAAAAAGGAAGCAGTCAATCAAAAGGCAAACATCTTATTAAGACTGTGTGATTTCTTTCTTTCAATCAAGCCATAGGTCATTTTGCCTCTGAAGTTCGGTCCTTTTACTGTGCATCTCACTAACCTGTGTAGTACAACCGGTTATTTGGTGTTTCCTAGACTTTTCAGTATTCGATGTGCTATGTTTAATCAGTGTGAACGGTCCGATTCTCCCGTCCATTGTTTCCCGTCATCACAAGCACAGGATGTGCTCGTACGCTGTCATGTATAGTTGTTCCGATGGTTTCTTTTGCTTTCTACTTGTTTTTAATCGCTGGCCGGACAATCTGGTTTTCATTCAAACGCACATTTAGACCACCGCCTCGGAGGTGAGTGCAGTGCATACGAAGAACAAAACTAATTTATCTTGCTACATTTCCTCGCATGTTTCTCTCTTTTCTAACGATATACTGTATGGGAACGTACGATTGTCTTGAACGGTTTACTAACCATGGTTGTATACATAACCTTTCCCTTCTGCCTCGTCTAACGTGAATTCGTTGCTTTTCTCTTCTGTTCTGTTGTTGGATTGATTGGGTCTTCATTAACCATGTTTTAAACGAATGTAACCATTTGGTGCATCACTTTGTCATTTTTCCGTGTCCACAACTCATCATCATATATCCTACACTCTTGTCCCTCAGATCCTATATAGTTATGCGCGGAACGCATTTTTATTGATTATGCATTTGTGCTTAACCTTTCGCTCCAAGTCGCATGCACGCATGCTTGCTCCTTCTGTCTCTCTCTCACACACATTGCTCTTCATCTTCGAAAGAGTTCAGTTTGCAGAAATGATGAATATTTGAAAATCAAGTTTGTCTGTAATCATCCAAAGTTCACAATTGGGGCAGGAGCGATGGATTTTACGACTTTATATCTGCTTATACTGGTCTCTCACAGTATGCAATAGCTGCATAGCCCCATTCAATGGAATCGTTTTCAATAACCAGCAAAATTCACACCACTTTTTATCAACTTTTTCACCCAGCCTCTTGTGTTCACACTGGTTATCTAATAGCATGGCGAGAGAAAATAAATTAGCATGCTTATTAACAGTTTATTACTGCATGAACATAGGAGGTCCAGTCGAAGTCACACACTGCAAGTGGTAACCAACGCAAATGGTGAAAACCTATCCCTTTGTTCTGCATCGGACCGCAGCTCAATTGGCGAGGTGGCTCCTTCACCTGTTCATACTGTGGCAAATACCTTTGATCTGTTTTGAAACCATCAGGACGAAAATAAATCCTGACGTGATGTGATAGTTCTCGTGCTTTCTTGACCATGTGAGCTGTACAGGATGGCTCTTCACAACCACTTGAGAAGTCAACGGGCAGAAGCCAGGCACGTCTCCCTCTCACAAGGCCAGTTTATTAGGGCACCTCCTGGTGTCCTTTGATCATTCACTTTCTCGCCTAAAGAGAGCACTCCAGCAAATGAACACGGAGCAAGTGGTCGACCTCCGTAGACTACTTTGCTTGAGGCCTTTGTTTTTGCATGTCATTTGATTGGCTTCCTCGATTTGTAATATTTACTGAGGTAGATAAAGAGTAGAGGAAAGTCAAGGGCGGTCAAATTAATACCCGACATGCGGGTATGGAAACTCCGCCCAGGAGACTCGGTCATATGGTTTAAGGTCTCCGGAAGGAGACCTGGGAAGCTGAGGCGCTCGTGCATCTACTCAATATCCTTGCAAACCTAGTCTAGCTGAATTATTCATTTCCCCATTGATCCTTCTCTCAGATTTTTACTTCTTCTGTCTACCCATTTCTTCAAATGGACAGTTAAGATGTATCAAGCGTAACCTCCGCGTTAAAAGGCAAGAATAAAGGTTTTATAATCTAAAACTTAAACGGGAAAAGAAGTAAAGCAAAACCGATGAGAATACAGGCGAAATCTGAGGTAGAAACAAAATACACTGCTGCTACTGAAAAGTTAGAAAAGTTGGGTTTCTAGTCGGAATATGCAACTTTCCTGCTGTTTTCATTCTCGTTTCATCGTATAATGAACAAATAAAAATAAAAATGAAATAAAACAATTTCGCTCTGTAAGTCTTTTTTCTTGTTTTGTCCGCACCACGTAAGTCTTTTGTCTATTCTATTTTGTACTGCATTCCTCCTGTTATCATTTTATTCCTCAGTCTTTTTGACCCTAAAACAATTGACGCCCACTGCTCCGGTCATCTGTGTTTTCCTCCCCGAACGTCGTGTACTTGTGCATACATCTTTGATCTATATTGTTATTGGTAAGACAGAGAGCAAAGATAAAGGCAGGAGAAATTGCTATGGTAACCTCCGACTACTTTTGTATAAGTGCACCAATTCTGTAGCATTTTTTCACATGTGTATTCTAAGTTTGGTCACGTGGATATTTCTGTTTTCTTCGCGGGCGTCTTGTTCAGACAATCGTTTATGTTCCTGGGCTCATTGAGACAAATTCCTCACTCCTCACTTTTTAATCGATTGCCTTTCTAAATGGGGATTGGTTTGTGTGGATTCTCTGTGGTGAGCAATGCGTACTGTGGTTATTGCGTTGTACAACCCATAACTTGTCTTGCTGTTCTCATGGTAGTGAATGGGAAGCATATAAAGGTCGCTTGGCGACCAAGGAAACATTTGGTTCCCCATCACTCGCCAATTGATATTTCAAGTGGTTCTGTTCGTTGTTTGTTCCTCTAACTCTTAAGTCTGCAGATGTCTCAAAACCGGTATTCCGAAATGATGACAGGTCAAATTTTCGATTTTTATGAGAACCGTGCCGTTAAATCAGGATTTCCGACCCACCCCACAGTGAGATTCTCAAACGGCCGAAGTCAAATTCTTACTTCTACTACATCAGACACAACAGGTAGTTAAAACTTACAGACCATTGGCGCAGAAATCTGTGTAGCTTAAACCAAGATCTGATGCACAAGCGCCTATGCACATAGTTTCCCTTTGATCCATGCACGTGCGTGTGCATCCGTATACTAAGTGATGCTACGTCGTTACCGTTTGTAGCAGAGCGAGTAGGCTTGGTTTTTGTTTGAACCGCGACATTGTGTTGTTTTGGCCTAGACCCCTAACGAGTTGTTGCGCGAAATTCCACTTACGCTGTGGCTATCTAGAACTGAACCACTTGTTTTGTTTCAAATTTGCGAACAATAAAATACATTCAACAATCATCTTTACAAGGGCTCTGAAATACAGAGCAAGAGATAACAGCGTTTACACTGAACGGCAAAGCTAAATTCAAATGCAATGGCCCTCTGAACTACTTTAGTTTTTTTATCTTGATCGCTAAATTCTCTACAGTATTCTGCTTACGAGGCAAATTGTAACCCACTGATACCTGTTCAGCTATTTTTAATAATTGGTAACATATTTTGCCAACTATAGTCGTATTGCTTGAAGCTAAACTAGGATTCGTGCGATAAACGACGTACGTTTTTGAAACTGTCACTACGAATGCACGATAGCTGCTTGTTTGTTATCTGATGAAATGGCTATCTTACTTTCCACACATAGAAGCCTCGTCGTAGGAGCAAAAACCCAGAAAAAGTACAACTCACGACGCTCATCTCCATGGTAGAATATAGTGACCTGGGCAAACGAGCGTGATATTCAGCTCAAAACACACGAATATGCATGAAATTCTGTTATCCCTAACAAATTTTCCCGCAATTTCTCGACAACCTAAGTATCCAAGCATCTCATAGGCATATGCTAATGATTTTTTCTTTGATCAGTTTCATTGTGTTCTATGGATAACTCACTCAAATAGTGGAATCATGGTCGACGAGTTGACACTATCGCTCACATTTGTTCAGGCATTTATTATCATTGCCAGTAGTTTTAATAAACATTGACCTGATTTTCAGTATCTCGTAAAAGTTCACCGTTACCAGTGAGATTCTCTTCTAGTGCCCTCCCCCTTTATTTTATTTATGATTTCTTTTTTACATTCAGACTTGATTTCGTACGTTTTCCTCGGGCTCATGCAGTGATTTTGTATCTCCAGCTTTAAAGTAGTAGTTGAACTGGAAGTCCCAGTTTTTCATCAATACCGTTCTTCTCTGTACCGGTTTCACAACGTTATCACTTGTTGCGCTTGAATGAATTTTTGAGTCTCTTATAACGTGAAACTTGGGTCCCTATTCGCTGGATCGCTGAAGATCAGCACGCCTTACCCGCTCCCACGCGCGGTGTGAAGTCACTTGCTCACAACACGAAAACCGATCAGAATGTTCACCTTGGTTCATAAGCTGTCTCCATCGTTCGTGCACTGAAACAGTGTGTTGGAAATGATATGGAATGATTGTAGCTCAGGGTGCGAATGTTGGTGTTGGTGAGTTCTCCGAGCTGGAAGTGTTGTTCGCAGATGTTTCGTAGTTAAGCTGGGCAACATCATCCCCGAAGTCGCACTGATGATAATGTCTAGCTTGTCTACAAAACGTCTGCGAACAGCACTTCAAGTTCGGAGAACTCACCAACACCAGCATTGCATGTTTGTGCAAAAATGATGACAAAGGGAGGACAGATTTAAGTAGTTGGGGGAGTGCAGACAAAGTCGACTTTAGCTTGAGGAAATACGGACTAAGGTTGATTTTCAACCACTTTGTGGAGCACTGGAGCAAACTCGAACTAACATTGTGATCATCTGCAAGAGGTTGATGTCAAGACAAGTTTACAATTCAACCAGTCACCAGTTGTCTTGTACAAAACAAATACTCTCGTGCAATATCCCCAGTGTTTTCTTTTTTAGCGAGTTTGCCGAATGGGATTAGGCTTTCTCGAAAAAAGTTGCATCTCATTGAACGACGCAGTTGTTTACTTTTTATTGCATGCACGGCCCTATTCGCTCACATCTCTGTGGTTTTCTGTGCTCATGCACAGGTACGAATCTGTTTCGTAACCAAATGTTTTGTCACCAAACTTCATATTTTATCTGATGCGGAGTAAATATACACGGATGATTCCCGGTGGAATTTCTATGATAAGTTGAATTCAATTTTCACTTTGGTTAGACGCTCAGTACATGCACGCACATTGCTTTCATTCAGATCATTGAAGATGAAGCTCGGCTTGAATCGCTGGCCCGTGAGATCGGGGAGCAACGAACGGAGCTCGAATTGATCCAAGCCAAACAACAGCGAGATTTGGATACAATTACCCAGGATGCAAGAGAAATTACATCCAAAAACGCGACAAAGCAGCGTGAGCTAGCCGAAACACAGGTGAGCTGGTAAATGTCATTCAGTCAGTGCTGGAAACCATTGCCTCTGTCACTTGCATTCGTATATAGACCATTATTTCACTTCGTACCTTGCGCGAGGTTTTGACTCTACCAAAGATGTTCAAACAATTTCGAAGATCAATCCATTACTGCGGTTTTCCTTCTCTCTTGAAGTATATAATTCCATTATTCTGTGCTCAGACCGTAGACTACCCGAATTTAGCCCTTTGTTGGACAGCAGAAATCCCTGACGAATGAACTGGGCTTTATCGGTGGATATGATGGGGATAACGTAGTATACTCACACAAAGAATAAAGGCGATGCCGGAAGCTGGTTCATCTAACGAAAAGGAATTTTGTCAATAGCTTCCACCTAGTCTATGTATGTGACGTCTTCTCAATTTTCGCATCACAAAATGTGAATTCTGTGTACGTGCACACACATACACCTTTAATTGACTTCATATATCATAGGGCGGTCGAGTATTTAAGCCTAACAAATAATTTCCTTGGAATACAAGTTACCTTCTGAAATGTCCCTATTATTTCATCTAACCCTAACAGTCATCAGCTTCCGATCCAGTTCAGTGTAGATACAATAGTACTTTAACCTCTGTCGTTCGACTTGAAATAAACCATGTGATTCTCCCATATGGGCAGCGTCGATCCATCATATTTCATACAGTGGTCATCATGTGATCAGCGGCATATGGTACTTTAATGGGACCAAATCCACATCAAAGAAAGATGCGAATGTATGTCCTGATCGAGATAGCTCCATTGGTGTTCTGTCCGCTTTAGTTAAGTTCATGTCGCCCACATGGGTTACCAGTCTGTCGCCCGATTATTATTCTTGTAATCAAATTTTTTACACGCTTTTCTCAGTATTCAAAACACGTCTCTAACTGAAGATACGATTTTGCCTATTCCGTGTTCAGCGAGTAGCACACTCACGAAATTTTTGAATATATTGAACTCGAAGTTTGCAAGTCTTTTTCTATTTTGTTCCATCAGCAAATAGAAATCAGCAAATGCAATTAAAAGATTCGTCATGAAAATACGATGGATTTCATGTTGTCCGTTGCGAATCGGCTCGTGGCTAGCTTAGCTTGCCATAATATGCCTAGCTTTCTAGCTTCTTTTCTCTCTCTCTCTCTCTCTCGGTCTAACACAACGAATATATCCCTGAGTGAGTGCCTGAGGATGAGTAACGATCAGCAGGGAATATTCCACGCGCTCGTATTTTTCCTACACATCTGACTGCGCACAGATAACAAAGGTAACCCATGGTAGCCGAAGCACAGTCATCCTCCTGTACGCGGTCTATTGTGATCGTTATGAGTGGACGAAATAAAAACGAGATGGGGACTTTTTGTGCTTCTCATCCTCTTTGCCGCAGCACTCGTGACTCCCGCCTCGTTCCCCTCTCCCAAATCTGACCACACCCAAGGGAGTGTATTGGGTGCGTGACGAGTGCAACAAATACAATTGTTCTCCTATCCCCGTTTTGCCCTAGTCGAAAATCAACATTATACTCTTTACCCAGTTTGAGTTGTTTTTCGGGAAAATATTCAGACAGTTTTGGACTGGCTGTCTTGTCACAAATACTTTATTGTTCAGGAAGTGTGCTCATTCCTAATAGTGGTCAACTGTTTTAAGGATGTTTCACCGGAACTTAAAATGAAAATAGATACGGTATCAGGAGTTATTCGATTAAAATGTGATGAGTGATTATCAGCTGAGTCTAATAGGGTTCTACAATGAAAACTTTTCATTCCGCATGTTTCATGCTACGCGTTGGATTCCTCAGGACAGTAAAAATCTCCCGGTGTTAGCTTTTTTCCATGAGAAACTGATCCCGTCATCCTTTGTTTGTACTTCAGTTTTCCCGATGTTTTTGTGGTTTTGCTCGGTAACTTGATCACTTCTAATCAGGTCAGGTTATAATCGCCCGAGTCCATTTCTCATCATCTCGCCTCATCATGCAACAATTGCTGTCCTAATGGTCCTAATGATCACGTGGTTCCAGTCGCATGTTCTGACATTCGCACACTGGTGATAGACAGTTTCCCCGTCATTCGACCCGATACACAGTATATGCTATAGGTAGTTTGCTGCCATAAGCCCTTATGTTGTGGTCACCGGTTCCCACAATAAAACAGTGAATCCCTACCAAAAACATTTGTCAAGTGTGTGTTGTTTTTGCTCGAGGTTGAACCATGGACTCATCCGCGTCTGTTTACACTTGTCAGTGGTCAGGGAGCTTTTTATCTGTGCGTTGATCAACAAAAGAATGCACACTCACAATCGAGCGGGTTTAATAACGATAAAGTATTGCCAAGTTAGGTAATCCGTGAGTTATGCGAGCTATCTGGATTACGCTTGGAGCGCTTCACACACACACACATCCTTTCCCCGCCCGAAATATGATGATTGTCTTTCGATCTTAGTTAATTTAGTTCATCTCCCAACCCAACATCTTCACCATAAAACAGGGTCAAAATGCCATGTAGCTACCGGCACACAGTTTGGTTTAACTGACTTAGACCCGTGGCGTGTTCATTGTCACTTTTCTCTTTCCCTATGAGCAACTGGTTCTTTTTGGTAGCGCTTATGCGGTTTACTGAATCAACAAATGGGTTCAATAACTAGTCCTCCTTCAGAAGGCAAATTGCTACTGCATAGTGGGAGGGCATTTGGTGACTGTTTCCCAAGGTATTGATGTGATATCATTGAATCTGTAATCAATTCAGATAAATGCAGAGTGCCATTGGAGACGGTTATAACTTGCATCATCACTTCATATGGAAATGAACCTTCCAACCTGCCAACGAATGAGTTATCCATACGGACACGATATGTTTGAGTTTTTTTCGTTTCAGAATAGACTTGTTTCCCAACTAAGCGTATGTTTGCTATGTCGGCTCACCCCTTCCAGTCTCTTCATTCCATATGTTTGATAGCTCTTTTTCTCCCCTTTCACGGAAAAGCGTAATATGTTATTTTCTGACAAGGGAAGCTCACAAGAAACTCATAAATCAGATCCTCTTCCCGTGACTAATAAACATGATCATTTTGCTTGTTCCTTGTTCGTTTCCCTTCGATTCACTCACTCTATCGTCTATCATCCATCCTGTCTGCCCCCCCCTCTCTTCGCCGTCTAGTCTTCTTTGAACGCGTTAATGGATGAACGTGCACAACTCACGGCGTTTGTGGAAAGTCTCCGTGCAGAACAGAGCACTTTGCAATTGGATTTACAGGAGAAACAAAAGGTAATTCCTATATTGATCGATATATGTTTGTGTACGGATTATACAACTCCCAAACAGATTTGCCATTTCTTTGTCGATAAGTCCTTTTTACGCAGTATATCATATTTTTAATTTTTACTTCTTTTTATTCAACACAATGAACGGGGAAGCGGCCGATCACGTAGTAGTGGTGGAATTCAAACAAACGTCTTCCGGCGTGATAATTTGGTGACGTTACCCTCCGCCACCACCGCCAGAAGAATAATCAAGACCAGTCCTTAAAAATAGGAATAACTTATATTTAATTACGTGTTTCCATTTGATGAACAATGCACATATTCTAGTTCGTGGTTGTTAATGGATCCGTGGGTGCATGAGAGCATACTTCAACCCAGAATTTGGGTCCTGCGATTCTCAATTTCCGGTCAAGAGTTCATCCTCTCAGTCTTGAATAACGGAGCGCGTAGTATTTGGTTATTAAAACATAGTTCTTCAGGCAAAGAACCGTAGGAAGGGGTGGGCGGGGCTGTTTGTTGATGATCAAAGTGTTTCACATGTTATTCATACATTGCGATGTCTAGAAAATCACAGCCAACCACTGTTTATTCGTAGCTAATGTTCAGTGACGTATCTTCCTATTAAACGGTAGCCAAATGTAAATCGATTGTAAAATCGCCTTGATAATGGTTACCCACGATAACCGAAACGTCGGCTTACTTTCACCTAAACCGACATTGCTGTGTTTTCAAAATTACAAATTATATAAAACATATCACATGGCGCATCGATTTTTCGATACACTCCGAACGTTGTTCGGATCTGACACTCTGGGTAGAGACTTTACTTGGCAGGTGGGACGCCTCAAAATATTGTCCACGAATCGTTCTGGGTATCCAGTTTAAAGGAAATCGTCTTCAATAAACCTCAGTTCGTTCTCAATGGTATTATCGGTACATATTCTCCGTTCTCTGGTAGCTAGACATTGAATCACGTTTCTTTTACGTTCCAATGGCACATAGCTTTTGAAATGGATGTACCGACTGTTCCACGATGAATTCCTGTGGAGAGTACGCTGAACAGTTCCGTCTGATCGACGACTTCGTAGAACGTCCGGAAGCGCGATCTACTCATTCTCTTCGTTCTCTAAAGTGAACTTTATGTTATGTTAAGATTGATTGGTTAATCGAAAAGGATCCTTATCAGATGCTCTAAGATTTTTCACACGATACGTAGACTAAGGTGTGTGACGTTATTGATGTACATCTCTACGCCAGAGAAATACTCTCAAAACAAAAGGTTCCGATTTACGACCTGTCACAATCCTGGTTTTGCAATACTAGACCATGGAAATAGGAGTGTGAAAATATCCCCTTCAATCACGACCATTTTGAGTGTGTTTAGAAGCACCATTTCCAGTGAGAATGCTGTTCATGTCAGTCCTGTCGTTTTGTCTCTCTCTCTCGCGTGTTTCTCTCAGACTCTGACAGACCTCTCGGCCACACTTCTTCGTCAAAGACGCGAGCTGGAACACACAACAGATATGGCTCGTTTGGAAGAGACTCGACTGAATGAGTTAACAAGTCAACAACGGGACCTACTGGATCAGTTACACAAACTGCAATCCCAAGTCCGTATTGAGTCTAGTGAGCTGCGTGGACAAGATGTGGCTAAACAGAAGAAAGTGAGTGCAAACACTCTCATGCTCCCGTGTTCAAATCTCAAATCGTTGAAAATCCACTTGGTATAACTGTATGCTTCCCCGTCATCGGGAAAGGGCAAATACAGATACACTAGCTCTAGTTCAGTCAGGTGCCCGTTTACTCAGTTTTAAGAAGATTTTTCAATTTTTATTCTTGCGTTTTTTAATGAGCATCTGTGAACTGAATCGTTGTGGTATGAGTAATACGGACTTGAAACTTGGGTTTTGTCCTATTCCATCATACAGATGTTACTATCAGGAAGTATCTCTCTTCTATTGTGCGGCCGTATCTTTGAAGGTCAGCTCTATGACTCAATTAAATCATGTGCACATCAACGATTCTTGCATTATGCCACGTCCATTTAGTTCTATCTTGTTCGACACAGTGTACAGCCATTAATTTCCCTCAAATACTCAAAGGAGATTGGACGAGATTCAGTATGTGTGATATAAAATCACTTACGATGATCCGATTGTTTCTCTCTGTGACTTGCATATTTTCCAACAGAACTCTGAATTACAAGTGGCTCGCACAGAGGCAGAACGCGAATCGGGCGAATTGCAAAGGTTAACGGCCGAGCGTCGATCTGCTGAGGCCGAGTTGACACAGCTGCAACAACAGATCGAATTGACCCGTAATCAACTGAACGGTATGCGCCACAAGGTGAAAGAGTTGGAGAAGTGAGTCTGTTCGGACATGGCTCAGCTATCACATGTTTGTCATCTCTCTCGCTGTCTCCATTACTGATCCCTGCCCCACCCTCCACGAAAACAGGAATTAACTCGTTTGACCAATCGTACTAAAAAATCTGCATGCCTTCCATTAGCAGTCCCAAGTTGAATTTTGGATATTATTATTCCTTCGCTTCACAATAGAACAGCACTTTTTCGAACTTGTGTGCTAAACGAATGCTGACTCAGATGTAGTGCTCGTATCCTCAGGCCTTCCTACTTTATACGCGACGTTCGAATGTGAAAATATCATACAAATGTATCATCAATTTTGAGTTATCACTGAGGGGCTATAAACATCGTAAAAATATCTTTCTTGCAACACTCGGATTATTGGATCTCAAAAACCCCTTGAGAATGAGTAGTGATAACTTTAGTGCCCGTCATTTTGTTGCGGCACACTGGTGCTCACAAAAGAGCGTAATGCGGGTACTGCTGGTCCTGTCGCCCAAACAGTAAACTGTAGACAAGCAGTAGGTCATTCCGAGTCTCAGCGACTGCCTCATTTTAGAAACCGTACTCGTCCCACGCTCTCTCTGAATTCCTCGTAAAATTGAGAGAAGATTGAGTTCATCTGGATACACGAGGGTCATATTTCTGGCTTCATTCAGCCTATCATAGGAGCAGTTTCTTGTGAACAAAATTTTAGTCCAGGACAACATTCAACTCAGAAACACAGATTTGAGTTATTTTCGAGATTTAATGGTGGCCCGTTAGCTGGAGTTATTGCTATTTGCGGTTTGAAGGTTTACTTCATTGATGAACTAAATTGTTGCTATCCACCAAATTCATCTTCCATTTAAATTCACTTATGGAGTAATTTCATGTCTAAGGCTCTTTCTTGAAGTGGTTTAAGATGATATTCACTTTTGTAATTGTCCATGCAGTGACTGAGAAAACTGATATAATTTTGTCCGTCTTGTATAGTGTGGTACACGCAGTGTTTTTTGGCTATCAGGGATCGGCCTACAGGCTGTTGTATCTTATATGCGATGGTCTGGTTTCCACGGCGGACCGTAAATTAGTCTTCTGACATCTCTTGGTAAGACCCCCATCTAATCCACACCACTCGGACTCGCTTTGATTGTTCAAGTTCTGAAAACCAAACGTAAACATCCCCTTTTTCCGAATAAGTCGATCAAAACAAATTTAGACCACTGTACGCTGTGAATCTACTGATAACCAACTTAAATCACCTCATTCCCAACCCACTCTTTTGATACTGATACAGAAAAGAAACGGAATTAATCCAATCCATTTCAACTTCGAAACGTCAGCTGACCAAAATTTCAGCGGAGCGTGAAGCTGAGGCAGTCAGCTTGCGTAGTTTGCGGCATGAACGAGTCTCGTGCCAATCGGAATATGACCACTTGTCGAGCTGCCTTGAAGCAGGTCGTGCAGAGCTGGATCGTGTACAGTGAGTTCATATGCATTTGCTTTCTTCGTGTGTTTCCATATTCTCCCCGTATCACTCAGGTTTCAGTAATGTATCACTAGTCTATCTACACTGAAATCAACTGTGATAAGTGTTACTTCCATCGCCCCAATAAAAACGATTTCACGAAACCGACTCGTACTACAATCATTCACCGCTGTAATGATTTTCAAAATCATACCTTTATCCGTTTTCCGAATCCTCCGTTACCCGTTTTTGTGTCGCGACCAACGGATTGATAAGCATCAAACTCCTCTTCTATCTTTCGCTCACAAAGTGCGTGTGCTTGGTTCAGAAGTTTTCATTTATTTGTTTTCTTCCTGTTTAGTAACCGATGCATGGCCTTCAAGGATTTGTTCAATCTGATGTAGGCAATGACTGTCGATGAGAACCTTTGCTTTTCGTAATTCAACTACCATTCCTAAAGTCGCTTTTATTTCTGAACTTCAACTGGAAAAAGTTTTAAGTACTTATATTGCACATTAATGTCATAGAAGTTAACTACCAGATGATTCCGCATCGATCCAAATTTGTATGCAGTTGGTTGGATTTTCATCCTTGATTACTAGGTTCTCAGATAATATTCGGACTAACCGGAGCGTTTGTTGTTTGTCGTTCTCGTTTTAATGCTACTTTCAAATTGTTAGTAGTCAAACGAACATTTTAGAAGTGGTAACCACTCACTCACAGGTCGCGCACCTCTTGTCGTCCATACAATTCATCAAGTCTCAATTTATCTCCCACGGTCTTTCTAATGTGCCATAGACACCGGCTATCTTCAGCTCAATCCGCTGCTGATTCACAAGAAAGTGAACTGGCCGAGCAACAACGACAACGGATGCATTTAAACGATGAGTTGTCCAAGCTGGGCGAAGCCGTGCATCTGGGTCGTTTGGCCAAACAGAACGCAGACGAGGAGCGGGAATCAAGTGAATCTGCGTTGCAAGCAACTCGAGAAAAAGTGGAAAAAATGCAATCAGAGAAGCGACAGCTGGATGAGGTAATTTTGTGCTTCGATGCGCACATCATTTGGACTAGTAATGTCACAGTTGAGCCGTATATTTGGTGGACCATTTTCAGCTATCTATCCGTATTGATAGTGGAATTTTTGATACTTGTGAATGCCCATATTTTGACAACTGATTGGTTAACCTGTATCCCCATGTATACGGAATGCGTATCAAATCTGAACTGGTATGATGGGTAAATTTTGCATAATAGTTGTCTTAAGCTTTTTATCACAGGCCAGAGGACGGGGCAGCGTTCATCCAAAATATAACTGTTGTGCTGCGCTCAAATGTAGAAAATTATTGAGAGGAAGGTAAGACAGAGTAAGCAAGAGAAAAGAAAGGATTTAAACAATAACGGTTAAACAACTATGCCAACCAGTTGTGAGTTATCGAGGTCCTATGCGCCAGAATTGTTCTTAACTGAGGAACAAGACGGAGGGCAAAAATATTGGAAAATGATTCTGCAGGGAATCAGGGAAATTATTTCTTCTGGATCGGGATTTTTATTCACCATTCATATTAACCTAGATTGGTCTTTTTCCAAAACCAGCCTGGCTAGTTGTATGTCAGGTATCTCACTTGGTCGATTGATCAGGGTAAGTCGGTCTATTTAAGCGCTTGAATCTGGTTTTATGCAGCACACCAAACTCATGACCGAAAACATCAGGAGCTCGTTTTCGCAAGCTGTCACCAATCACTTAGTTCTTCCATCCTTTTCCTTTCCTATTTTTAATAATTTTTGTGCGAAAGCTTCTGAAAAACTGCAAACAAAACCAATTCATCAACCTACCGGTTCCTCAGGTCTTCTTCATTTTCCACAGACGTGTTGTGCAACTAACCAGGGTAGACGTTTTAATTAATATAACCAAACTGTCGGACAGGCACGCTTATGGTTTTAATTGCTATGTTCTCTCACTTTTGGTGACTGAAGGAGTGAGCAATGGATTTAAATGCTCATCAAAAGCATCGTTCCGCAGTTTCTATTACCATCTGTTCCTCACTAGGTAGCGCATTACATAATTTTACATCTGAAGCATAAAATGATAACGTATCTTACTGGAATATTCTGAGGTGACGATGAAGATCCACTCGTTTGCCACTTATGTCTCCTCCAAACGATTTACAGTCATGACTGGAATATGTGTTATACTTACTCATGATGCGTTGCATTTCACCTTGTCGTAACTTATGTTTTTCGTTCAGCCTGCTTCGAAAAAAATGAGCAAGGTGAGAGAGCGAGCGAGAGAGTAGTGCATCGTACTTCGCTCATATAGTAGTCCTGTTATTTCTCATTTCTCCTCTATACGCCATATTTGTTGTCATGTCGCGCCCAGATTCTTCATGTTTGTTTTCGCCTCTACTCGTCCCTTCCTGTTCACTGTTTTGATCCTCCCGCCAGTAGTCTCATATATCATTCGGTTCACGTTTGTGTGTGTAAATTTGTGTGCGTTTTATGGGATTTCCCTAAGAAGTGGAATTTTGTCCACTGCGCTTCAGGTATTATGTTTAAGAAACCCCTTGATCGATTCTTCCGCCTTTTTATTGATAGATTATACGTCCTGGTCGGTGTGAAGGCGAATCATAATGCACTTTTGGCTATCGAAAACCTGAAGTATATATCATGCAAAGATAATATTCGGACCGAAAGTGGAATGCGGAAGTATATTGATGATTTTTCTCCACTGCTCTAATTGTTGTGGGCGCCCAGTCAGATCATGCTTATCGAGCAGTATCAAAAAATTGCTGCCCTCATTTGTACGATAAAATGATGATTGGCGCAACTACGAGGATTGTATCGGTTCATCTCACTCGCACTCTGTCGTCCCTCTAGTTGGGATCGCGTGGCGCGAACCGGGTTCATTATCCATGCGGAACAGAATAGTAGACAAAACTAAAATATTAGAAAATGTGTTTGAGAACTAAGTTCTGTGTTTTAAACCGTGTCAAAGGCTTACGTGTAGCTGGATAATGTGTTCCTGGGAGGTAATTCAACTGCGGAACACCTCACAACGCATTCCCACTGGTGTTAGCCAAACATTTTCTGTGGTTCCGAGAGGAAGGAACCGTGTGAGAACGGAGCAATGCAATTGTACATGTGATCATGAGAACAGTGTTAGCAAACAAGCTCGTTTTCGGTGCGACATCAACGGACTAAATACAGCACAATTTATTATAGATTAAACAGGTGATGAGGAGAGACACTTATCTGTTAAGGAGATCACAGTATAGAAAAGCTGATGCAATTGTGATATCCAGCGTTTGTGTTCGTATGTACGTTTATCAAAAGGGATGAGACAGTGAGGAAATTAGTTTGTCTTAGCAACGGCGAATGAAAACCATAACACAAATGCGTTGGTGACAACGTTTCGACCTTCTTGGAAGGCCTTTTTCAAGTCGTTTAATCGGTTAGTCTCACGTTACAAGCAATTATAAGGCAATGGGATGATGACATTGTATAGGACTCGGATGTGATTCGAGCATGCGTGTATGTGCATGTGTGTTGGTGATATTTTAACAGGTGGTTGAGGTGATTGAAACTGATTTGACCTTTTGGTCAAAACAAGCTAATTTCCTCAATGATCATGAGCATGACACCCAAGTTTTTCAGTTAGATCCGTTCCATCCATGGATCTCGTGTGATTAGATAAGCATCTATTTTTGAAAATCTGTTGAATTTGTGTTTTAACTTCTATAAGTCAAACAACTTACAGTTCAGTCAGAAAATAAATTGTACAAAATTATCAACCTGAGCATAAAGATGTAACAAAAAACAGGACGAGAAGGAGCCGAAAAACATGTGCCACTTTCAATCAGCAAGAGTGTACTAGGGCTTCAGGAAGACCATTTTTTCTCGGGCGAGTAAGTCCGTTTTGGAATCATATCGAGGATCATAATGCAAAGGAAGGCCTACGGAAATAAAACATTGCGAAGGAACTCTAAGTTATCGGGCGTATCACCTGGTTGCAAATAGAACGGCCAGTCAGGTGGTTAACCATAGATAGGTAGACGGAGTTTAATTGAATTATCGACCGCTGACGATCAGTGACATTGTCGTTTTTCCCCTGTGAAGCGATCCCAACACCAAGTCGCAAATGCCCGTTGGTAGCATCGTGAGCAATTGTGACTCGTCTCTAACCAAAGCCATGACCATCCTCCTATTGCGGTGCAAACTCTGTAAGAAAAAGCCTAGTACACAATACTCCCAAGATTGTTCTTGAATCAACTCAGACCTTTCTCATTCATGCTACGGCGTCCCTAAGGAGCGAAGCACCCGTGTACTCTCAGTTGCTGGGCTGTCAAAACACCGAGCCAGAAACATAAATGAACGGTGACGTACTCACATCGTTTGCTGGAATGTCAGGATCCTCGTAGATGTTGGCAGTTAGTGCGTCACCGTGCACACTGCACGATTTGGGCGTTGATAGGGCTAGGATATTCGAAGTATGATTGCCGAATCCGGGACCGAAACGATTGTCTCACATCGACGCATCCCACTGATTCTACCACAGTTGGCCCACTGAAAATTCCGGGCTACATGATGTGGCTTACGGACTGAGCAGGAACTAAAACGCATGTCCAGAAATGTAAAAAATGGTTGATTTATAGCCCTCTAATATGTTCGTTGTTATTGATCAATGGGCACGCTAGATCACCCGATCGAGTACATTATCTGACCAATCATCTCTCTCCAAGAGCTCATATAGTGAAAAATTTTTAATGGGTTTTCCCGCAAGGTCGAGTTCTTGGATCGGATTTTTCTTTCGAGGTCCGACATTCCCTACACCTGCCCTTTAGTCGTCTGTCTAAGCTTCGTCGGTGTGGGCTACCGCGAAGTATGCCGTGCCCTAAAGTCTTAGGCACCCATTTGGAAGACGATCCTTCCCTTCCGACCAGTTCTTCTCAACCTCGATTAATCCCAGATGCCTCCTGTTTACGCCACTCATCGAATATCACTCAGCGTTTTACCATCAAGGCCAGAGATTCAGAAGCTGTAGGATTTTTAAAGCCAAAATCCCCTTTTC